AAAATTGTTTTAAAATCGAACATTTTCTGTTTCGAAGAGGCGTTCCTATTAATTTTTGAAACCACTGATGCATTAGCTCTGATTTCATTAGCAGTCGAACGTTTACGCAGAAGAGGTTTTAATCTTCTTTTAAACTCTAAAATAAATAAATAACTAATGATGAATACTCAGAAGTATAGAATGTTTAGACAACGCTTCACAAATCGAAATTGGAACTGATACAGACTTCGTTATTGTTACATTTATTTATTTATTTAACTGAATAACCCCTGGAGTATCTTGCCATCTAAGCATTAACGTTAAATTCAATATAATTTAAATTACTGTTTGATTTCAAAAATAATGATTATATTTATAAAACGCCCAGAAGCTAAAAGTAATGAAAATCATACATCATACATCGTATGTATCTTCCCGTCACATTCCCAGGCCGGTTGTGACAGACATAAAAATAAGTTAAAAAATAATAGGTATAAACACTAAAATGGTTTAATACGACTCTTATTATTAGAAATATGCAGCACAACACAACTTAATCATTTAATCAAAGCTTATGAATAAAATATAGCTTCATATAGAGAACATTATTTTTTAAACAAAGTAACAAGAACGTTTATAATATTTTTTCTTATTTGACTGATTGGAATAAAGAAAAAATGTCCAAACATACTGCATCTTTCTTCTTTTGGACCCTATCTCAAAATCAGTATATTTTATCTATTATGGCGACAGTCACTTTTATACTCTTTTATACAACTGTTCCCAATTTCTCCTTTTATCGAGAAAGCAAATGTACCGAAATATCGAAGTCGAAACTTTTTAACTGAGTTCATGTCCTCCTGATATGAAATGTAAAAAAACTTCTTGTTTCGGGTAGATATTCATTCATTCATTCATTATTTATATTTTTTTATTTTTATGAATTATATTATTTAATGTATTTTAATATAACTTTTTTGCTGTACGCGTGCTCATTATTTTTCAATGCTACATAGGGAATACTGGGTATGGCTGTGCAACTTTTTTTTGATTAGCCATAATTCTGTTAATTTGCCAATTAGCTGAGAGAAAAGTAAATTAAATGCTAATTTAGACATTTGTCTACATGAAAATACTAAAATACTGTCCTTAACCCTCCGTCGGGCGCAGTCCCGTTACGCACACGTTCGGGCGCAGTGTATCCGACAGCAACGGTTTTTAAGTATATCCTCAGGAGGCTCCTTATTTTATAAACATGTTAATTTTTTGTTTAATTATATTTCAGAATGTATACTTTTTGAATAAATAGAAAAAAAAAGAATTCAATAATATTTTATTCTAAAATGTATAAAAATATAAACCTGTGTATATATGCACAAATTATTTACACTCACTTTTCTTTATTGAAATACACAGTCTCTAACTTTTTTTTCATTTGTCACTTTATAAAAAACTAGTGGGGTGGGTGGCATCGTGCCTTAAGGCAAATTGCTGGAACTTCCCGTACCGTAACGAAACGTTCGAGGAATATTGAATGTTTTCAAATAGATTATTATAAATATTGTATTATTGTCTAATATTTATAATAATTATATAAACTGAATTGCAGAGTTGAAATTATTTGTTTAAAGTATATTAGAACTATAGTCAGAATTAAAAATAAAATCTGAATTATTTTCGATATACAAAAAATTTAAAAAAAAAAAAAAAATGGTACAAATTTTTTTTTCCAAAATCAATTATTTTGTTAAGACAAGCAGAAAGTTCTTTGAATCAATTGAATCGGACGTTTAGTTCTCACAAAAACTGCCATTTTTTGTACATTTAGCTCTGTATCTCCGAAATGGCTGGGCCTGCCTTTGCGCGAAACTAATAACCCTTTCTCCCAATCATTACTAATGGAATGTTTTTTAGATCATTCAAATCGGATGCTCCGTTCTCTCAAAAACTCGATTTCTATTTTCTGCACTCTTTGCTCCTTATCTCCGTAACTGCTGGACCTGTTTTTGCCAAAAACTAATCAGCTCTTCTCCTTATTAATAGGAATCGAATGTTTTTTAAACCATTCAAATCGGTTGATCCGTACGCCCGAAAACGTGGACGAAAATTTGTATCCATACATACATACACACACACACACACACACACACACACACACACACATCCATTTTTTCTGAGGTATGCCAAAACGTTCAGAAACCTTCAAAACGTCGAGAAATGTAAAAATTTTCAATTCCGATTTTCGGCCCATTACAATAACTTACCCTACGGGAAGTTAATAAGTAATATAATAATGATAGTTTAATGTGTATAGTTAAATATTATCATTTATTGAAGCATTTCAAAAAGCACTGCATAGAAAGATCGCATGTTGGAAACACAGTGCTTTTCGACATTTAGCACAACAAAATCTTGAAAGCCGTCTAATATTAGCTTCTAATGTACACGGTTCACATCGTCGTTTTTTTCGTGGCTCTTCTTGTTTTTGTGAGCCATTTTCCTGTAAATTTGGTCTGAATCTTTTGAGTCCTGCCTGCAAAATGAACAGTATCCCACTCGTGATTTCACTTCTTCTTGTTAGCTGTCCAAGAACAAGTTCATGCGATAATTGTATCAAAAATATCTTCTTCGGAGATCTTTCTTACCATTCCCATGACTCCAACATTCTATAGGCGTTGCAGCATTTTTTGCGTTTCCTATAACACCTGGTAAATGTCTTAATAAGTTCTGGGATTTTGTTCGAGTCCTATTAGAGGGAGGTTTGCTACACCATTTTGTAGATTTATCTCTACTCATAAAATATTTAGCATTATTGTTCAAATTTATTTCTTCCTCACTCTCATCCTGTTCGTCCTCTTGTTCTGTCTCAGAATCGACTTCGCGACTCTCTAGATGGTCTTCGTCACTTCCACTTTCATTACCTAAATCGTCAAGAAGATTATTTTCATCAGCATCATCATTCAGCATTCTTAGAATCTCTTCTGAATGAGCTGGCTTTTCTAAATTATATATTTTTTTACCACTCGCCTTATTTACTAGCCTATAAAATGTATGGACTCAAGTTAGTACCACATTCGGGCGCAGTGAATCTCGTAGATACTTTCAAAAAATTGCAATTAAATGAAAAGTATTGAGATATATATATTCAAAAATACGTAAAAAAATACAGAAAAAGAATACTTACATTCACAAAAAATTGCAATATTCGTACGTTTCAAAATGTTGCACGTTCGGGCGCAGTGTATCTCTAGGATCAAAATACCGATTGCCACTATATGTGAAGGTCAAACACAAAATGATAAAGACGCATAAATAAAACATATAAAATTAGGAGGCTATTGAAGAGTGGAGGTTTCTATAACATTCAACCAAGGCGCAGCATGAAAAATTATTGGCTCTGTATCTGTCAGATCGGCTGCGCCCGACGAAGGGTTAAATACGATGGATCATAAAGTCTCAAATGGTCATAAAATCAAATCATACAAAAATCCGAGGGACAGCCATGACAGCGATTGGGGTCAGTAGTGACATGCATGAAAATAGGTTAAAATCAATTGGTATAAACACCAAAATGGTTTATAACGAAATTAATTATCGTGAATAAAAATGATATGTAATAATATGTAACATAATACAAGATAAACATTTAAACAAAGTTTATGAATACAATATAACAATATATAACAAAAACATATTTATCTAAACAAAGTTAACAATAATTTTTGTGATTTTTTTTCTCATATTGAATTTTTATCTGTTTAATAATATTCACCCGAAAAGGACAATGAAATTCATGTCACAACTGTACCCCAAAATTTGTCACAACCGTACCCAACGCACCCTTTTGAACACAAATCAACATTATGACTGAGCTAAATTATCTAAGCTAAAGCTAATATTGATGGTAAATAACTACTAATGTTCAACTTACAGCAAAATAACCAAAAAGTAATCTATCTGTATATAAGTAACAGTTATGATCGAAAGAAAAAACTTACTTTTGACTCTATAAAAGCAATGCGGTCTACAGATCATGTCATTGTAAGGCATTGACTGAAAACAATAATGGGAGGTTGTTAGAACAATAATACTTCATCTTTGTCCCTTTGGACCCTATTTCAAAATCAGTATAGTTAGGTTATAGTTTAGCTGTTATGACGACTGGCACAAACGTACCCTGTCTCCTCTGATGAAGTGTATCATAAATTTTTGCAATAGTAATTTAAACCTGCTTCTTACATACTTTCCAGCGTAATATCATATTAAGAATTAATTTGTAATATCAACAAACTGTAATAATGTTTTATATATCTACTCTTGACCGTGAATGTAGCCTATATAATTATCAACTAGTGGGGTGTATGGCGTCATGCCTTGAGGCAAATTGCTGAAACTTCCCGTACCGTAACGAAATGCTCGAGGAATTTTGAATGTTTTCAAATAAATTATTATAAATAAATATTGTAACATTGTCTAATATTTATAAGCATTATATACACTGAATTGCAATGTTGAAATTATTTGTTTAAAATATATTAGAACTATAGTCAGAATTAAAAATAAAATCTGAATTATTTTCGATATACAATAATTTTTTTTTTGAAAAAAAAAGTTGAAACATTATTTTTTTTCCAAAATCAATTATTTTGTTAAGACAAGCAGAAAGTTCTTTGAATCATTTAAATCAGACGCTTAGTTTTAAAAACTAATCATCACATCTCCCTATCAATAGGAATCGAATGTTTTTTGAACCATTCAAATCGGTTGATCCGTGCGCCCGAAAACGTGACTGGAAATTAGTATTCATACATACATACACACACACATCCATTTTTTCTGAGGTATGCCAAAATGTTCAGAAACCTTCAAAACGTCGAGAAATGTAAAAATTTTCAGTTTCGATTTTCAGCCCATTACAACAACTTACCCTACGGGAAGTTAAAAATAATGTATTTTGATCGCAGTTGTAACACTTTAAAGTTTTTCAAAAGTTTTCAAAAAAAATTTTTTTTTATTTTCAGACTGTCGATGAAGATGACCTATCTCAAGAAATTCGTGACATGATTTACCATAGTTCGTTCAGTGCCGACGCCGCCCAGGCTGGTCTTCGTTACGGATCCCTTCTGGCTTGCTTGGCCTCCCTTACAGCCCTTGTGGCATTACTAATGAAGAGGAAAAGAGCATTTTGTGGACAAGAAGGCGCATAAAAATGAAACAAAGAAGCAGTCAACCAAGATATTGGAAACAAGAAACTCCTCGCGACAGCTGACAAATTATGATTTGCCACAAACATCGATTAGTAATACAAATGGCCAGAATCATGAAATGTCTTGATATTGCTTTTAATCATGGAAGCGAAAAGCTATGATAAGATGGTATAACAAAACAAAAGGTTTAATCCTTAATACTGCATTATAATTGCTAAATATCAAGATTTGGATTAATAATGTATATCGAGAGAAAATGATCCAATCCAATATTTCTATGTGAATTATATATCCATTGGTTTCTAACCTGTTATACGGCTGATTCTAAGCCATAACTATATCATAATTTTTATGATTCTATCATTTATTTTATTGCCAAGAATAAAACTGCACATAATCACATATTAATGCTATTCACTACTTCTCGATAGCATATTCGCATTTATTAAACAAAACCATGAAATGATACCTCATATTTTTATATACTCTCGCAGAAATTAGTGAATCGGTAAAATTTTTTAGTGCAAATTATCTCCTTCCTAATATCACCAAAAATAAAACGGGTCAATGAATATTTTTCTAAATATCAGCCCTGTAAACATTTGCCAATATTACGAGAATAAATTTCTTTTTTTTTATAATATAATTTTTTTCCTTTTAAATAAATTTCTGTGTCTCCACTAATTATCTTGAAATATTTTTTTTCATTTTTCTTAATTTCTCTACTTCATTTTTCTTCAAACAAGACATCAATTTTATGAAAATTGTTTTTGGTATAATTCGTTATATAATATTAATATATAACATGTTACATTCGCACCCTTGTATACTTAAAAGTAAATTAAGTTATACACTAATTATTACAAATATTTCAAAGTAATAAAATATACCATCAAGATTTAGCAAAAAATTATCAAAAAAATGAAAAAGATATTTTATTATAACATTCAGTTTTGTAAAAATTATAATGTTTGAGCTAACATGATTCAAAATATTAAAATGTACAATTGTGAATGTTATGAACAAAAAATATGGCTATTTGAGGACAACATTCATAATACGATAAACAATCTTAAAGTTTTTTCATTCATACATAAACGTTATATCAGAATACAAAAAAATTGTAATAAAGCATTTTCTTTGCTTTACATTTAACTACGATCAAAACTTTGGCAATATTAGTTAGTTATGTTGTATGAAAGCAAAAATATAGGAAAACAAAACTCAGAAAAATATAATTCTAAATATAGGAATGAAAATTGTCCTAAAATAAAAAATTTCCCTAAAATGAAAAATTGTCCTAAAATCTACATCTTCTATGATTTGAGCTACGGATTTAATAAACATATTTTAATAATAAAACGGTATACTACTTCGTAAATGCTCAAAAAATAATAGTTGCTCAAATACTTTTGAAAAAAAGTTTTTTGAAGTGACCTAGAGCATATTGAAATATTCCTTAAACGTCGAAAATTTCGTTATTTTATAGACGTTAATAAGGAGTCATATTGTAATGTAGGTAAAATTATTGTTAATAAAATTAAAAATTAATTATTTGATCGTTTAATCATACTTTTACTTTTTATTTTTGACCTTAACAAATTTCTTTTTCGTGCTAATTTATTATTATTATTATTTTAATATTAATAATTGTTTCAAAGTTTACAAGTAATAACAACATTAAGAATTAATTTAACACTGTAATTATATATATATATATATATATTAATAATACAATAATAAATTATTATATATATGAATATTTTACGGTATTCCATTTTGCTATTAAACAATTTTTTTCTGAGCAAAAGTTTATTTATGCAAATTCTGAACTGCTAAGCAATCGTTTAATTATCAACTTTATTACATTTAATTGATCTATTCAATTGATATTATTGTTTTTTTTTCTTACATTTATTACAGATGATAAAAATAATTCCATATCGATATATAAGTATAAAAACAAGAAATGTAAATGAAAATTATGTATGAATAAGAGTTTTATTATATAACAAATATGAATATCAATAATTGATATCATTGTGAAACTAGGACAAATATCAGAAAACTTGTTATTTAATGAGAATATTTTATATAATAAATGAAAGATTGCAACAATGGAATTTAATCATGTAAATAATTGATAATTTGTAGAAAAGTAATATTAATAGTATTTATATTTGTATATATATTTTATATTTTTTTATTTTTATCGATAAGTTAAATATTCTAACGTGTTGTAATTTAAATATATTATTATAAAGGCCTTTATAATTAATTAAGAATTAGAAAATGAAATGAACTATATTAGTTTATTATGATTGATGAGTATAGTAAGAAGTTTTATATTATATTGTTACATTTTCATTATAATTTCTATATAATTTTAATTATAAATATATAAAATATTTTATAATTTATTTGTGACAAGCACCTATTGTTAATTATGAGCTTGGGTTAGACTATTTATGTTAGGCTAGAATGTGTTTATATAAGTTGTTATTTAATACGATAAAATTTATTAAATTTAACATTGAGGTTTTATTTCAAATATTATAATGCAACAATCAGACATTATCCATAACTGTAATAATCGATGTACTATTTGTTAATATTATTTGAACAGCGATTAGAAATTAAGGGTCCTATAAGCTGGTGTGATATTATAATTTTTGTAATAGTGTGAATTTTTTTTATTGATGCGTCATTTCCAGATAAGCGCTATTTTCACTTGGAAACATATTGCTGTCTATATTTACAAGCAAAAACCAATGTTGCTACTGCTTGACATGAGGTTACCCGAGGCGAGAATCAAACTTGGAAATTCCTGGAAGAACAATATTACCATAGTACCTTTTCGTGCTTCATTTATGACTCCCATACAAATTGTGACAGTTATAATTTAAAATAAGACCACCAGCTCTCAAAATTCTAAGGATAGAATAGGGCAGAGCACAAAAGTCTAATTTGATTTTGAGCAATTATATAATGAAATTCAAACCAATTATACGATAACAAATAACACAAATCAAACAAACAACTATCTGATTATGATCAGTAAAACTAGCTAATTCATCATTGTAAAAATGTGTTTTCTTGCTGTTTTTCAAAAATTTGTTACCTGGTTCTTTTTACCCTATAGGCAAGGTAAAATGAAACGGCCAGGGAGCAACGGATCCAATGTCTAAATAAAGGGATTTCACGAAATAAAAGCTACATTACTCAACCAATGCAAAATATAAATTTCATGGGTACATTTTTTACATAGACAGCACTATATATAACACTGATCTGGTATTTCGTTAGAAAGAATCATCAGCAGAGTTGCAATAACCATTTATTTAATTTATCTTTGGTAACTAATTACTTTTTTTAACTAAATTACAAATTTTTTAACTAATTACTTTCTTTATTCACTATTTCTTATTGCTTACAGGTTTATACCTTTGCCAGGGTAAAGGTTCAGTTAGTCTTTTCTACCACACCAACACGTATGTTTTTATAAAGGTTATAAAAAAATCGGTGGTGGACCTTTTTACCTGCGGACCTTTAAGCCCCGCTTTACCCTAATGCAATTCCAAATTTTGTGTTTGCGTCATAGGTTAAAATCCACGATCATATAAATAAACAATTTTAATATTTTTAATAATAAATTACAAAAAAATGGCCCGGTTGATCTTTACTCAAAAGTAATCGTCACGACTTCCAACTGATATCTTTCGCACTAGTTCCGTATTTTTTGTGGGCTAAAAATTTTGCATTTATCAATTAATGATAGAGAAACGGTTGGCCGATTTCCGCGAGTACTTAACGAGTCTCATCGAATGGTTTTTTGTAATCAGTTCAGCCGTTTTTAAGAAAACGTCGACGAAAGTCCAAATTTTGCCAAATGTACATACACTTACTGTTCCAATTTTTGTCCTAAAAGTCCTTCGGGCAGTTAAATATTGTATATTACTGCAAATCCTCCTTTATTCAGTCTATATCGATATTTATTACTTACAAGTCATTGCTCAAGGCATCAGTTGAAATGAATAAATAAATGCTGATCTCTATGAAATTACTGCACGCATATGCAATAAGTTTGCGTTTACAAAAGTCATTTGACAAGAACATTATATACGTGACTCAGGTTTAATTGTTGCACTTTTACGTAAACATGACAACTACTTTTCACTCTAGATACATCTCATTATTCGTCGAACAAATAAATTGCATAAGTGCAATTAAATATGATTTTTTATACTCAATGGTTTCGTGAAGTTAAATTGAATTATGCGATAATTAAATTGTTGTCAACTGCATTTGAGAATTTCATGCATTCGTTTAATTGCACGGCATTGAATAATGTTAGGAAATACACAAATTAAATTGAATCAATAATGAAAAACTGGTAAGGATATTCAATATTCCGTATTATCGTTTAACACTGTTATTGATCAACATGTACTTCCAAAAATTGAATTAGTAAGTTATTTTTAAACCAGTAGAGCACCCTTTGTTACTTCTTCGGATTTTTTTTTGTTCATATCAAGCAATCAGAACCATACGTCCTACAGGCTGTTGGGCTGAAACTTCTCCTTACTTCGTATTTTCAGATGCTAATAATTAATTTGATTATTCCAACTATATTTGATGATTTTATCTAATTTATCTAATATAGCTAACTTTTTATTGTTGTAGCAATGCCGGATGAGGGCTATTTTCACTTGGAAACCTATTGCTATTTATATTTCCAAGTAAAAATCGTTGTCACTGCATCCTGACAACAGGCTGCTCAAAGTGGGTATCGAACTCGGTCCCTCTAAATCGAGTCCCAACGCTCTTAACGGAATGAAAACATTTTTGAATTTTAGACTGTGCATTTTTTCGTATGTTTATGTAATTATTTTATTACTTCGTCTAACTATATTTAATATACATATATTTTTATCTGATACTAGCCGGCCCAACAGACTCCGTCCTGTCAAAAAAAAATTGTAATGTGGCGGTGTTTTGTG